CATTCATTTTAGAGGGCAACCCTATTCCTTCAATTTTGCATTATCCCATTACAATGAAAATGACTGTAGCAGGGTTGCTTTTAATTTGCAAATTCCCTTTTGAATAATTTTTATCTAAAAACTTACAAGGTGCACATTGATATCTTTGGCAGCTGAGCTGGTAGAATAGAATAGAATAGAATTTTTTATTGGCCAAGTGTGATTGGACACACAAGGAATTTGTCGGTGCATATGCTCTCAGTGTATATGAAAGAAAAAATACATTCATCAAGAATCATAAAGTACAACACTTAATGATAGTCATAGAGTACAAATTAGTAATCAGGAAACAATATCAATATAAATCATAAGGATACAAGCAACAAAATTACAGTCATACAGTGGAAGGAGATGGGTGGTGGGAACGATGAGAAGATTAATAGTAGTGCAGACTTAATAAATAATTTGACAGTGTTGAGGGAATTATTTGTTTAGCAGAGTGATGGCGTTCGGGGAAAAACTGTTCTTGTGTCTAGTTGTTCTGGTGTGCAGTGCTCTATAACGTCATTTTGAGGGTAGGAGTTGAAACAGTTTATGTCCAGGATGCGAGGGGTCTGTAAATATTTTCACAGCCCTCTTTTTGATTCGTGCAGTGTACAGGTTCTCAATGGAAGGCAGGTTGGTAGCAATTGTATAATGGAATGAGTGGCATGCAGCACTTCTAAGGTGAATCAGAAGGCGCTTCTTTGGTGTCCCACCTGATCTTTGTTCCATATTCCGTAAGAAGGCCAGCTCCTGAGTTTCAAATATGGTGTGCAGATTGGAGCTTCTCGGGCACTTTCACCTTTCCTGCTTGGGACAGCTGTCTGCAAAAAGGTGACATTTGCCATCAACTTATCCAAAAAGACCAGCAAGTTGAAATGGCTCCAACCATCAATGATAGAGTTTGAGCAAAAGAAGGCTAAAGCTTTGTTGCATGGGGAAGTATAGGAAGAAAATACATTGGATCCAAAATAGGAGCAGGTAAAATTCTGGCAAAGTGTGAATTATTAGTGTCTCATATTTGCGATTGCTCCTCTCTTCCTCTTTCTGAAGCGCAGGCTATTTATTTGATGAAAGAAATGGCCTATTTTGCATATAAGTGTTGGTACTCTCCGAAGAGCACTGAGCATAGAACCGGCAGAGTCAGCTATCTAAATAGGTCTTCTTATTGTACCATTATTAAACAGGCTTGTTTCTGGTAGGAGGATGTTTTCTCCCTTGTAAACAGATGGCAGTTCATGCTTTTGGTTCTTAGTGCTAGAAAAGGGAAAAGTGCCATCCTTACCACCAGATGCTCAATAGTCTTCGGCAACGCATCCTTTTAGCGTTCCAGATAAATTATTCTCCAGTGGGAGACTTGAGACAGACGAAGGGGCATTAATTTTCTGTTGGAAGGTTAGTCATGGCCAAGGACTTAGCTTTAGAAGAAGTATGAAAGCCAGGCATCAAGTAAGCAACAGCCTCTAGTCACAGTGGCAGCCTTGTGGGGAGTGTCTGCTGGAGCACCCGAGGGAGCCCGAGTCTCCCGCTTGTATCCTGTTTGAAGGCTTCCCAAAAGAAGCACCTGGTTGGTTGCTGCAGAAGCAGGATGCTGTGCTGGATGAGGTCCTAATCTGGTCATATTGTACATGCTCTAACAAAAGCTTACGTGGGGAGTGGGATTGTGACATTTATAATTGTAATTGCTACAGTAGTTGGGTGCTTCTAATTTTGCTCTGTCTTTTTACTTAACTTTTGATGAAGGGCCTTGAAAACCAGTGCAGGGTCATGGCATTAAACTGGATTCCAGATGGTTGGCATAAATTGTGGCTTTGCAGTTGGAGTAATGAAGTCTGCAGTGCGGAATCCTCTCATCAACATTTGGAGGGGGTGGGGTGCGAAAACAGACTTCAGGATGTCACAGCGCAGTTGATATATTTGCATCAGGCATCAGAATGCAGTTTCATAAGGGCGTGGATTGTGCTGTGATGTCACACATGAGTGTCTTTTTTTCCATTGGAATGGTAGTTGCAGCTGCTTCTACTCCAAAGTGCTGAAGAGATCATTAGCTTCCACCTTTGAAGAGGACAAACTCACCCTGGGCCTTTGCTCATCTGTTTAGTTGAGCCAGTGAAGTATTAATTTATTACAGATGGATTTTTCCTTGCTTCCATTTTAATTTGCTTTCCTGCTTTCTTATTTATTTATTAAATTTATTCACCACCCATCTCACTGTCACTGAGCGGCTTACAATGGAATAAGATTATAGTATAAACATCAAAACACTAAAACAATGAAACAATAAATACAATAAAATATGTTAAGCTGGGCTGGCTTAACATATTTTTTAACATATTTTTAATTTTTTAATTGGTTTATCTTAAATTGGGGCCAAATTAATATATATCCTTTTAATTGCTTTTTAATGTTTGTATTATATGTTTTTATCTGGCTGTATACCGCCCTGAGTCCCTCGGGAGAAGGTGCGGTATATAAATTCGAAATAAAATAAAATAAATACAAAATAAAAAAATTAACAAGAAATAGCTAAAATAGCAGATATGGGGCAGGGGAATAATAGAGCAGAGGGGGGATCTTCTAGTTAATCCAGTAACGACAGGATGACAAGCCCCCATCTGGGCTCCAGGCCAACTGGCCAAGTCAGGTTTTAAGACCTTTACAGAAGGATGGGGGCAGATCTCGCCCCAAGGACTGTGGGGTTCCAAAAGGTGCAGCAGAAAAGGCTCATCTTCTGGACACCACCAGGCCAAATTCCTTGGTCAACGGAGGGGTCTGCAGCATGCCTTTTCTGCTGGCATTGATGGTGAGCCAATTCCATTGGGGTGAGAAGGATCCTCAGGTAGTTTGGACCTCTGCCATAAAGGGCTTTAAAGGTGATAACCAACACCTTGAATTGGACCTGGAAGCAAATGGGTAACCAGTGAAATTTACATAACAGCATAGGGGTCTCCCAAAACTGTCCACGCAGCTGCATTCAGAGGCAGTTGTAGCTTCTGAATACTCTTTTTTTTAAAAACAATTTTTATTGGGTTTCTTTTTCCTCCTCTCCCACCTTCACCGACATTATTATTATTATTATTATTATTATTATTATTATTATTATTATTATTATTATTATTTATTTTGTATACCGCCCTTCTCCCGAAGGACTCAGGGCGGTGAACAGCCAGCAGATAAAATACAGAAAATACAAAAATTAAAACAATATTAAAAACCAATTAAATTAATTTGGCCCACATCTTTCTTTTTTTTTTTGAACAGAGTGTTGGTCGTTTCTTATCTTATACAATTAGTCAAATTCAAATACATTTTACTCAATTACAATTTTTGCCAATATCGTCTTCTCCCCTTTTCCTTTTTTTTGAACATACCTCAGTATTTCTATATTTGCATACATAAACACCTTCTTCATTTATCCCTAAATTCTAATTTTACTATTTGTACATATTTATCCTCTTTTATTCTTAAACAATTCATTCTTTATCTTAATATATTTATATTTGTTTGTTCAGAGCTGCCTTTCTTCCATTTCATCTTTTTTATTGTAAAGCAACATTTCTCCTCAAACCTACCCTCTCCCTCTTCTCCTTCCAACTTTCTTTCCCCACCTTCTTCTTCTCTTCTCTACTTCCCCTTCCCTTCTCTTTCTCCTCCTCTCTTCCCCCCTGTCTTCCCCTCTCTCCTACTCTGGTTTCCCTTCCCTTCCTTCCTCCCTACTCTTCCATCCCTCTCTCTCCTTCCTCCTCCCTTCCAATTCTTTCCTTCATCTCTCTCTATTGCTGTAATCATTTTCAATTTAGCGTTTTCCATTGTGGAGTCCAGGCAACCCTGATCTCTTGTCTTTTTAATTATTAACAATATATTTCATCTTGTTCTCTTTTTTCCTTCAAATCTTTACTCAAACAATTTTCTAATCCCTTATCTTTTTTACTTTTACCAATATATTTTTTCTGCTTTACTTCTTGTAAGTATAACATTTAAATCATTTTTAGCATTTCAATTTCATCCAGTTTTACATTCAATTTCAATCATTAAGTATATTTCTCAAAACATCTTAACAATATATTTCCACTTATTCAAATATATATTTATAAAGCGCATCTTAATCATTTCTCATTTTACCCAATCCGATTAGTTCTTAAAATATTCTTAATTTGTCTTCTTTTCTCTTTTTAATTGTTTTAGCTTCTGAATACTCTTTAAGGATAACCCCATGAAGAGCACATTGCACTAAGAGATAACTAGGGTCTGAGTGACTAAGCGCAGGGATCCCAATCCCAATCCAGAAAAGGGAACAACTGGTACACAACTCGAAGTTGCACAAAGGCTCTCCTAGCCACAACTGCCACTTATTCTTTGAGCAGGAGTTGGGAGTTGTGTACTGGGTCTGTCGGGGGCAGTGCTACCCTATCCAGAACTAAAGATATTAAAATACATTTATGAGGGCTTTACATTTCTACATTTTTCTTATTAAGCTGATGTTTTTAATTGTGTTTGCTGCCCAGATGTACCTATGGCTGAGATGGGCAGCCATATAAACAGAAATACATGCATACACAGCCCTTTTTATTGTAACCTATTTCATCACCTGGCAAAGTCTCTGCTATAATAGAATTCCAGGGCAAAAGAACGGTCTCTGTAATTGCAGGGAGAATGACTTCCTCCAAGACCACTAGAACTTCTGGGTTAGCGGAGAAAATGCAAGTTTGCATAGAAGACTTGTCACGTCAAGTACGTCCAACAGGAAGGAGCTTCTGAAGGAAGTAGATGCATGGCTGGAGCTCACTTAGCAGTGAACGTGAGGAATGCTTAAAAAGTAAGAACAGAATCTCTTCTTACCTGGCCTCTTTCCTCCCTTCCTTCCTGCCTATGCTTTTGCTGTCTGGTCAGAAGGTTGCTGTGTCACTCTCGGTCCCTTCAGAATGTGGAGCTGATGTCTCCCCACTGCTCAGAGAAGCTTAGTGGTGGAAGACAAAACTTCCCTATTTCTGGAATGAGGAAAAATAACCTAGAAACAGAGAAAACAGAAATATTGAAGTATTTCAATAAAATGTCAATGTTTTAATATTGAAAATGCTGCCTTCTAGAATCTTATTCACACCCTTAATATATTTAAAGGTTTCAGTCACATGCCTCCTTTCCCTTCTGTCCTCCAGACTGTGCATATTCAGTTCCTTCAATCTCTCCTGATAAGTTTTCTCCCTCAGACTTTGCACCATTTTGTTGCCCGTCTCTGGACTCGCTCAGTCTTACCAATGTCTTTTTTAAGTGAAGTCTACAGAACTCGACACAGTATTTATTTATTATTATTTATTTATTATTCATATTTCTATGCCGCCCATTCTCCGAGGACTCTGGGCGGCTTACACCAAAGACAGTATACTAAATAGCATATTGCCCCCAACAATCCGGGTCCTCATTTTACCTACCTCGGAAGGCTGGAAGGCTGAGTCAACCTTGAGCCGGTGAGATTTGATCCGCTGATCTGCTGAACTAGCAGTCAGCTGAAGTAGCTGCAGTACTGCACTCTAACCACTGCGGCACCTCGGCCCTTATGTAAATGGTGTATCACAAAAGGTGCCTGACTAGTGCCCTATATAGCAGGATTAAGACAGACTGCCTCAAGTGGAATCCCCCTGCGTGGACCACCTGTCTTGGGAAGGAAGGCTGCGAGTGAGAGTCCAGGGTGGGCAAGGTAGAGATGGTGCTTCTCCATCACGGCCCTTTTCTTGGGAACAGCCTTTCCCTGGAGAGCTATAGGATGCGAACTATTGTGTTCCTGCTGATTCTAAAGGGAATGGTTTCTTTAGGAAGTGCTTGGGCTTCCATTTCAATAGTCAAAGGTCGATATGGCCTTAAGATGCCCACGTCAATGTTGTTCTCTTCTGGGAAAAAGATCATCCATAAAAAAGGAGGTTATGAAGAGCTTGATAGTGCAGAAGGCCTTGCCCATCTACTTGCAACAAGCTGAGATGGCAATTTCTCTGCAAAGCAGGATGTGGAGATAGTCCAGCGCCACAGAAACCCTTTCTGATCACAGAAGCAAGGATGCTGAATGCCCCAATGGGCAGCCCTGTTCTATTAACAGCTTGTACCTGAACAGAAGCTGCACTTGGAGTAATAACTGCACGTTGACATGCCTGCCAGGCTTGAAAATTATGCAATTAATTGCTTGGTAGGTTTTTCGGGCTGTACTTTAATCAAAGATGGGACAAATTGTGATTTTGCAGTTTCGGAAGGCACATTCAGTTGTTTAGTCAGCTGTTAAAAGCTAGGATTTTCAAGTTAATTTTCTTACAAAATTAACCTTTGTAATGACAAGGAAATTAGAAGTAGAATTGAGGGATTTCAGTCTGTAGAGGAAGAGATTTGTTTACGAGGCATGGGAAAATATTTGCGCAAGCTCATATTGTAGGAAACGCACGGGTCCACTGACAGCAGAAAAAATTAGGCTGCTGTGGCTTTACAGCAAAAAAAAGGACAGAGCACTTTATTGAGTTGAGGTCTGAGGCAACATGGAGCTTCTGGTTTGGAAAGAATCATCTTTCAGTGAAGAGGATGAGATGGAAAGACCTGGTTGTCAGTCAAAAAAACAAAGCACTGTATGGATGGCCTAGAGACCCTTGGGGTGGTTCTAAGTTAGCATTTGTCAGAGTTTGTTGCAGAAATTAAATCCAGAAAGCACACACAGGCAGACTGATGCAGCAGGATTCATTAACTTCTTTATATACATAATAATACATGAAGATAAATGTACAATACCAATATAGATTCTTCTTCAATGTAGTAGCAGTTACAAGCAGAACAGAAGGCAGGAGAGAACAGTTAGTTTCATTTCAGCAGAGCAGAAAAGCCCAGACTTGTTTCATTTCAGAGCTGAGCACAGAGCTTAATACAAAGAGAGCCGCCTTTATACAGGGCAGTTAAGCTTCTGCACAGACTCAGTTGCCTAAGTCACGCCCAGATTTCTATCTTAAGTTTCTGTTTCTAAACAGCCTTCATTGGCTGACCTCGTTACATGTCTCCATTTCATTCCATTGGCTGATCTATTCCAGTCCGTGAATATTCCTACTCTGACAACATTTTTATTTTGTAGCAGTTATGTCTTTTCCACGTGTGATGGGGCAGGTTCTAAAGAAAGGAAAGTGAAACCCCACCTACCTTCCTTCTCTGGATTGTTCCAGTTACTCCAGGGTGGGTTTTTGTTTTTGTAATGGCACCAAGGCAACATTCAGGTTTTGTGAGGAGCTTAGAATTTTGGGGGTTTACAAGTTTAGTATGTCTGGTGAGTGAAGATGTGGGTTGTGGAAGGCTTGGCAGACTTTTGGGGGCCACATAAACTATTGATCAGCGGTGGTGACTTTAGAGGAGGCTGGAATGAATGGAACAGTTGGTGGCTGTTGATCAGTTATTGATGAGCTGTTAGGCACCACAATGATTGGCGATTGTTTAAATGATTGGGGGGGCGATTTGATTGTGTGAAAATATTATTGTCCGTTAACTAAACTGCTCTTGAGATGGAGAAGGAAATCAAGGACATTCCCAAAGGAAGAAGCGCTGTAGTCAGGACCATATTTCGGTCATACACACAGGCTGAAAAAAGTCATATATGGCGGTCACGTGAAAGAGGTCGCTTCCCTAGAATCATTGGTCGTGGAACCATCATCGCAAAGGAGATGAAAGTCTCCCAGTGAGGTGGAGAGAGATGACGGAGGATTTCTTCAGAGACTGCAGCGTAAAGCGAGTTAGAGAGGAGTCTCGTTGCTTCTCTTTAGCAGCATCTCACGATGCTGAGTGAGATGGGCCTTTTGGTCTGGCCCGATCAGGTAACCTCTTCTTGAGCTTCTTGGAGTAGCCTTTCTCTAGCCAAGATGGGGTTATTGTCATGTGAGCAGAAGCTTCTTTGTGCTGCACTTAATTTATGGATTTTTCAGGCAGCGTAAGAGCAGTTTTGAAGCATTGGAGTAATAGAGAATAAAAATTAAGTGAGAGTTGTGCAAATGGTTGCTATCAACTTTGGGCTGTATTGCAAGATGTTTGCTGTGGGAAAAGAATTTGGCCCTTCAAAATAATGAGAAGACTACTAGCCAGAACACTTTTGTTTGTATCAGACTTATATTTTTCAGTTTGCAATTTCAAGGGCACAAACGCATGGACAAAATGCAGCTTAAAGCCATCACAGTAAGCCAAATAAAAAGGCACCCAGGAATTGCCAGTATCCTCAGCTTGAAGTAGCTGACGGCCCTCGTGGTGCTTTGCCCAGCTTATAAGGAATAATCTTCTTGGCCGGCAGCCGCTGGAAGGTTTTGTACAAAAGCTGCCTCAGAAGTAGACATTGTTTCTTTCTTTGGAGTCACAGGTTGCTAAGATCAGCCTTCTGTCCTACCAGGAAACAATGTTAAATATTACAATTTGTTATTAGGAGTTTTCATTTAGGGATAGAAGAGTACTCCTGTCATTGACAAATACCAGTTCCATCCCCTCAGACAAAGCAAGCTGGATCTATTTTAACAACTAGGAAACGCGATGGAATTAATTGGTAGGAAAGTAGTGTGACTGATGTGGCAATCCACCCTGGACATCAGCTCACAGTAGAATTCAAATCAGGCAGCAGGAGAATTGATCAAGATATAAAAAGGAACTTTGTGGCAGATCGAGGGGTTCACCTCCTGGTGTGCTTGGAACATTCCTGACATCTTGTGGCAGGCAGATGCAAAATTCTGACCTACATACATAAGTTATTTTTCATGGTTTTATATAATATTTCTTGCCTTTTTGCCGAAGCAGTAAATAGAATTACTATATCTAAGATCCCACAGAGTTGGTTTCCTCCGGGTCCCGTCAGCTAAACAATGCCGGCTGGCGGGCCCGTGGGGGAGGGCCTTCTCTATGGCTGCCCCAGCTCTCTGGAACCAGTTACCTCCTGAGGTCCGGACCATCCCCACCCTATTGGCCTTCGAAAAAGCGGTGAAGACCTGGCTTTTCCGGCAGACCTGGGGCCATTGATCTCGTTCTTGTGATCCGGCGAGATCCGGCCATGAATGGTGTGAATGAGTTTTAATGTTTTTAATGTTTTTAATTCTTAAATGTTTTTTATAATGATTTTAAATGCATTGTGAGCCTCCCTGAGTCTTCGGAGAGGGGCGGCATACAAATTGAATTAATAAATGATAAAAATAAATAAATCTGTGTGATTGCCTTTAAAGGAAGCAGGGGTAATGTCAGTGTAAAAGTTTCTGGAGTAAAATACTGTAAGCACCCTGAATAGTTTCAAAAGATGAATGCGGCTGAAAGGAAGAAATGTAATTCTCATAGGAGCACCTTGATCAGTTCTATCCCAAATGTATCTTTCTAAGTGCATCCACCATCAAGGACATTACATTACAGTAAAATTGCAAGAACAATGCTTCCATTAATGATTGATGTGGCATAAGATAAGATAGGTGGTGTTGAAATCTGAAGCCTCTGTGATCTCTGATCTGACGCTATTGTGGGTTCTCTCCCTCCCTCCCTCCCTTCCCTCCCTCTCTCTCCCTCCCTCCCTCCCTCCGGGAGTTGTACAGTTTGCATCCCAGGAAATTTTCAAAAAAGGGTTAGCAAGCCATTTATTGGAAATAATTCCTGCCCTAGGAAGGGGATTGAAGTCCCTTCCTCTCTCTATGAATTTATAATTCTATATGGCCTTCTTTTAAAATCTTAAACTCTGTTTCATGTAAAAAGCAATTCAAGAGGCCAGAGCACCTCAGAATGAAATTCTGGACTCCAACCACAGTCATCTTTCAGTCTCAGGATGTTTTTTTAATGTCCACAGCAGATAGATTAGCTGAAAAATTAGCCCAATGTAGGAGTAGCTAAGTAGACCCCCAGGCAAATGCTGCTTTCCATTATTTCATGTTTTTCACATTTAAAGCATGTTTGTTTCAAATTCACATTCATGGATCTGTCCATTTCTTTTTTTAGGTGCCCTCTATACCTTACCATGGAAAAGTTGGTCTTCTGCCTTCTGATGACGAGCACTATGGCTGTGAGGGCCCTGATGTGTCCCATGCGCTGCAACTGCCAGAGGGTGTCCCCGTCTTTCACCATTCTCTGCACCAAGAATGGGCTGCTCTTTGTTCCTCCTGCCATTGACCGACGGACAGCAGAACTCCGACTGATGGATAATTTCATCACGACTTTGCGAAGAAAGGATTTTGCAAACATGACAGACCTGATCCATTTAACACTATCACGAAATACAATCAGTCATATTATGCCTTATGCATTTTTTGATCTTAAAGGTCTTCATGCATTACACTTGGATAGTAACCGACTCACCTATATTGATGAGGATCACTTCAAAGGGTTGATCAACCTTCGCCACTTAATTCTCAGTAACAACCAGTTACGTTATATTTCACCTGGATCTTTTGATGATTTCATTGACATAATTGAGGATCTGGATCTATCCTATAATAATCTTGTTAAGATCCCCTGGGAAACTGTTGGGAGGCTTTCAAATGCCAATACTATTAGTTTGGATCATAACCTCATAGATTTTGTTCCTGAAGGCATCTTCTCCGACCTTCACAAACTGGCCCGGCTGGACATGACTTCTAACCAGCTGAGGAAGATCCCCCCCGACCCTCTTTTCTCCCGCATCCCTGTCTATGCCAAGCCCAAGGGTACCCCTCTATCTTCTCTGGTATTGAGCTTTGGAGGGAACCCGCTACACTGCAACTGTGAGCTAGTGTGGCTACGGCGCCTGACTAGGGAAGACGATCTGGAAACCTGTGCCTCCCCACCCGAGCTGATGGGCAAGTATTTCTGGTCTATTAAGGAAGAGGAATTTGTCTGTGAACCACCAATGATTACTCGCAGAACGGCAAAGCAAGTGATCATGGAAGGACAGAGTGTTTCCTTGAAGTGTAGAGCAATGGGTGATCCAGAACCATACATGCGCTGGATTTCACCAGGAGGAAAATTGGTCTCCAACACTTCCCGAACAATTTCCTATGAGAATGGGACTTTGGACATTTTAGTGACTTTCACGGAAGACCAAGGCACGTATACCTGTATAGCATCCAACGCTGCAGGGGAGTCCACTGCACCAGTTGAACTTCTGGTCAGCTCATATCCTCATCTTGCTAACAGCACAAACTCTGGCAAAGAAGCTGAGACGGGTCCATCGGATATCCTCATCCCAGCCAAGTCCAGCTTCTCTAATGAAACCAAATCTCACCAAGAGAGGAAAGTGGCCATTGCTGAGCTGACCTCGTCCTCTGCCCTCATCCAGTGGCCTTCACAGCACCATATTCCTGGGATGCGAATGTTCCAGATCCAATACAACAGCTCTGCTGATGACATCCTGGTGTACAGGTACGCATTCCTGCCAGGCTTGTTTCAAGTTTATTTCTGGCAGGGTGGCAGCGATGGGAAGCTCGACAATCAGGAGTAAAACCGGGCACCACTTGCTTGATGCATGAGTTGGGAGGGTAGGAGGAAGATCAGTGAAAAGAGAAGCGACTCCCACTCAAAAGAGAAAATCCAAGCCAGGGCTCTCCGTTCCCCACTTTCCTTTTAAACCAGAACTTCATACAGGAGAGATGAAAATTGTACTAAAAACAGGGTGGTCAATTTCATTTCATTTTTGTGGCTTGATTCCTGGTGATTCCCTGGAGTGATCCATGTCATTTCCTCGGCCGCGTTTTTGGAAGGAGTTTCCCGTTGCCTTCTTACTGGGGCTGAGAACGAGTGACTGGTCCAAGGTCACCCAGCCAGCCTCATGCCTAAAACAGGACTAGAACTCACGATCTCCTGAAATTGCTTCCTGGGCCTAGGCCTAACAGTAGCTGTGGAAAGAGCCCCTCCCTCCTTCCTCCTTGGTTAATTTCCTCAATTTACCAGTCCCAATTCTGCTCCCCATATTAAGTGAAATACGGCCTTGGGTAAATTTCATGTCTAGGTTAGTCAGAGAAAAACCTATATGTCAGGCCTTTGCATAATTGAAAAACAGCAATTTAAATACGTATATATGTACAGACTATACTGTTGCTTTGTCAAAGTAAGAAGAAGAATGCATCATCAACTTGAAGCAGTTAAAAAACAGAGCCTTGTGTGTCAATGTTACAGAAAACTTCATAAAAATGCTATTTTCAAGACCCCTTTGGTTACTGGACGATCTAAAATAATTTACACGTGCGTGCATTTATTTCTATTCGTATGGCCACCCATGTCATCATGTTAACAACCAAGAAACAATCATACAAAGTTATGAATTTCCTTCTGTAGCCCTATGATATCCTATACCCACAAGGGGTCCAGTAGCTCCTTTTCCTACCAAGAAATGCTATTAAAAAGGCAGAAGCTTTCATCAGCTGCAGTTTGCCTGAAGAGTCACGGCTCACGAAAGCTTCGGCTTTTTAATAAAGATGCTACGACAGTCCAAAAAGGTGCTAGCAGACCCCTTCTCACGTCAGCTGTCTGCAACTCAATTTCATTGGGACCAAAGAGATTAAAGGTTATCCCTTTGGAGTCTTAGGCCGATCTCCGAAGCTGGCAAATGCCTGTTGCCATCAAAGCCATTTCCCGTTCAAAGTCAACAAAGCAACCACCAATGCTTCTCAGGCATAGGGTCAACTTTGGTTTCATGGTGTGAGGTCAGTCAACAGAGTCCCGCCAAAGGAGCAGCCCCTCTATGCTCAATCATATCGCTTTGTTGTCTGTTCCCTTTATGTAGTTTGCATGCTTGCATCGTTTTTGTCTCAGTGTTGCTCTGTGTTCACCAGGCAAGTAACTGGTGGTTGCCCCTTCGATTCATGAGCATAGCTCTCCATGGGGTCGGGCAAGAACATTGTGATGTCAGAACACAAACCACACTCCTTGCGTGCAACACTGTGATGCCAGTCCAGGGGTGAAATGTTCCCCGTTCAGACCGGATCGCCCAATCCGGTAGCAACGGAGGTGGGTGGTTCGGAGAACCGGTAGCAAAAATTCCTGCCCCCCCCCCTTGCCCAGCTGAGCCGTGCAATCATCAGAGGCTTTTTAAAATTATTTTTAAAAGCATTTTTTCTACAGCCTCTTCGGCCGAAGAGGTTGTAGAAAAATGGTTTTAAAAGTAAAAAAAAAAAAAAAATGCCCACGCCCACTTAGTCATATTACCACCACCACCACCAAGCCACGCCCACAGAACCGGTAGTAACAAAATTTACATTTCACCACTGTGCCAGTCCCAAAGGTGCTTTTTTCAAGAGGCAACTGGACATTGCTTCTTGAAAAAAGCACCTTTGGGACAACCATGACCTGGATGACTGAGAATCTCCATAGACAGTGATGCCAGGAGAAGAAGGCAGAAGGCATCATAATATCATAACGCACACTTTGTCATTTTAACACCATGGCTACCACAGGACAGTTACGCTGCCTAAACAGCCAACGGCTACCCTGTTCATCCTTTTAGCCTTTCAGAAAATCACGGGAGCGGAGGGGGATGTTGCTGTGTGGTTCTCTTCCTATAGACTGAGTTTGTCTTCTCTTGCAGGATGATCCCGGCTTCTAGCAAGTCTTTCTTCCTGACCGACCTGGTTGCTGGGCGGGACTATAATCTGTGTGTTCTTGCTGTTTATGATGATGGTGTGACTTCTCTGACAGCGACCCTGGTGGTAGGGTGCGTGCAGTTCACCACGGAGGAGGCATACCGGCAGTGTCAGTCCCTCCACGCACAGTTTCTTGGTGGAACCATGATTATTATCATCGGAGGCATCATTGTGGCATCTGTCCTTGTTTTTATCTTCATACTTTTGCTGAAATACAAAGTTTACATCAACCACCACAAAACCAAAAACCCTGAAGTGAATAACGTTTGCTCTCAAACCAATGGTAGTCAGAATAACTCTCTGGTACATTCCAGTTCCAAACTGGCTGAATGGATCCAGCAAGAACGTTCAAGCTCACCACTCAGAGGCAAAACTATACTAGACTTTAACTACGAACGAGCAGCCTCTACAGACGTGTCTGTTTTAAAAAATGAAGCCTTTCCGTAATAGTTATGCTGGTCCCAGGCAAGAAGCAGTAAAAAATAACTCATGCGGTTGTATTTTAAGCTTCACTGTCTATTTTTAAGATCAGATGGTTTTAAACGGTATTTTTTTAATCTGTAAAAGTTCTTGCATTCTTAACTATTTTTGTTGCACTATATTAAATATAAACTGTGATTTTGAAGGTTTTTTTTTCCTTTTTAAAATTTTTTATTACGTTACATTACAGTACAATGCAAGCACAATCGGTTAGACGGTGGTATTTTCTATACAGATTAGATTCATTCTTTTGTTATAATGCCTCCTAATTTATCTATTCGTTCTGATATTTACACTATCTCTTATCTCTCCCTTATTCGATTTTCCATCCGTCTATACCAAAGTTCCCACACCGTATAGTATTCTGAGTCCTCTTTCTCATTTAGCTCTAACGTTAGTTTACTCATCTTGGCACACTCTAAACCTTTCTGGATTGTGCGTTCCTTCAGTGGTATCTCTTTTCCTTTCCAGTGTTGTGCGTAAACTATTCTTGCTGCTGTAATAATGTGTACAATTAAATACCTCTTTTTTTTCTCATATTTCCTCTTTAGTACTCCCAGGAGAAAAGTTTCGGGCGCCAGTTCAATTTTTTCTTTAATTACTTCTTGTAACCAATTTTGGATTCTTTTCCAATACCTCATCGCTTTGGGACATGACCACCACATATGAAAGAAGGTACTCTGGTGGTATCCACATTTCCAGCATTTGGGACTTACGTTTGGGTATATTTTAGCTAGTCTTGCAGGGGCTAGGTGCCATATATATAGCATTTTGTATTGATTTTCCTTAAACGATGCTGCTTTCGTTAATTTGTAGTTTCTATTCCAGATTGTCTCCCACGCATCCAAATTTATGTTGTGTCCAATATTTTTTGCCCACGCTATCATTGGTTCTTTTACCACCTCTTCTGCCCTGTCAAATTATTGTATTTATTATTTATTAGTCATATTTCTATGCCGCCCACTCTCCGAGGACTCTGGGCAGCTTACACCAAAGACAGTATACTAAATAGCATATTGCCCCCAACAATCCGGGTCCTCATTTTACCTACCTCGGAAGGCTGGAAGGCTGAGTCAACCTTGAGCCGGTGAGATTTGATCCGCTGATCTGCTGAACTAGCAGTCAGCTCAAGTAGCTGAAGTACTGCACTCTAACCACTGTGCCACCTCGGCTCTTATAAATTCTAATAGATAGTTGTATAATCCGGCTAATTTTTTTTTTTCTGGACCTATCAATAACTTATCAAATCTATTTGTTTCCACCTCTATTCCAAATTCTTCCTTGTCTTTCTGGTGCCTGGATTTAATCTGCAGGTATGGCCACCAATCGATATGGATGCCCTGTTCTCCTACTGTTTGATTGGTTTTGAGATTTCCTCGGCTATCTAAGAGCTCTTTGTACCTAAACATTTTGTTGGTTTCTAGTGTGTTAGGGTATATCATAGCTTCCATTATCGAAAGCCAGTTCGGAACCTTCATATATTGTTTATATCTAATTTCCTCTCCTGTTTGTATTAGCGTATCACTTATCTTATGTCTGTGGAAGTATGTTTTTTTCTTTTTTTTGTTATCCCATAGATAGGCATGCCATCCTTTTTGTAGGTCATGCCCTTCCAGAGTTAAGATTCTTTTATTTTTTAAGGTGATCCATTCCCTTATCCAGAGTAAGTTAGTCGCTTTGTAATAGATTTCCCACGCTGTGAGTCCAAAGCCTCCCTTGCTTCTATTATCTTGTAGCGATCGAAGCGCAATTCTTGGTTTTTCCCCGCCCCAAACAAATTTCCTGGTAGTTTTGTTAAGTTCTATAAAAAATCTTTTATCTAAGGTGACTGGTGTGGTTTGAAATAGGTATAATAACTTGGGCAGGATATTCATCTTTATCGTTGCTATCCTGCCCAGAAGCGATAACTGCAATTTCCCCCATTTTTCCAGATCCTGTTTAATTTTTTTAATCAGTGGTATATAATTGTCTTCTTTCAGGGCCGAGCATTTCGATGCTATCCAAATTCCTAAGTATTTAATTTTTTTAACAATTTGTAAGTCCAATTTCTTTTCTAATTCTTCCTTTTGCCTTTCTGTCAAGTTTTTGACCAACATCTTAGTTTTTCTTTTATTTAATTTAAACCCGGAAACCTCGCCATATCTTCCTAATTCCTCAAGAATTCTTTGCCTCATTTCTAGCGGTTCCTCAATAATAAGCACTACATCATCAGCGAAGGCCTGTGTCTTATATTCTTCTCTCCTGATCTTTAGACCTTTTATTTCACTATTGTTCCTAATCCTAATTAACAAGGTTTCTAATGTCAGCATGAATAATAACGGTGATAATGGCCACCCTTGTCTTACTCCTTTCTTGAATACTAAGGCCATTTGCTTTTCTGGGTGGACTTCATAATATTCTAAAATGTCTACAACTATTCTTAGATTATTCCTAATTTGTCTGCCGGGTAGAAAGCTGTTCTAGTCTAAATGTATCATGAAATTTAATATTCTTTTCATTCTTTCAGCCATTATATTCATAAAAATTTTATAGTCCGAATTTAAAAGGGAGATTGGTCTATAGTTTTTTATTTGTTTTGGGTCGGTACCTTCTTTTGGCAGTAATGTAATATAAGCTTCCCTCCACGAATCGGGTATTTTGGCCTCCAATAGAGCCTCGTTACATATCTCCAGTAGCTTTGGTAGTAATATTTCATCTAATTTTTTATATATTTCTCCTGGGAGACGGTCCGGGCCTGGTGATTTGTTGTTTTTTAGTTTTGGGATTGCCGCCCTTAGTTCTTCTATTGTGATTTCTTTATTCAGCCCTTCCCTCTCCTCCTCTCCGACCAGTGGGAGTTCTTCCTCCGATAAATATTCTTTAATCCTTTCTCTTGGAACCTCTTCCTCTTTGTAGAGTTCTCTATAATACTCTTGGGCAATTTCAAGTTTGTCTTCTTCTTTATTCTGTAAATTCCCTTTCATATCCTCCAATTGTTGGATCATCCATTTTTCATTTTCTTTCTTTAACTTGTAGGCCAGCCACCTACCCGGCCTTATTGGCATTTTCAAAGTAATATTGCTTAGATTGTCTAAGCAATCCTGACTTACCCCACCCGCTGACCTGCTTGCGAGCCCCCTGGGACTCGCAACTGGCATTCACTTTGCTTCTGAGAATCCGGCAGGAAGTCTCCAAACGTGAAGTCCTTGCTTAATGAGCCACCGGTACCTTGTTTTGATGGGTGCCAGATACCAGTTTTATTACGATTGATAAAGAACAAATCTTTGAGAACCTGCAGAGGTGAAGACATTAGGCGGTCATCAGTCATTACTTTAGGCTAAAACATATGAAGAACGGTTACAGGAACCGGGCACGGCTAATCTACTGAAGAGAAGGATCAGGGGAGACATGATAGCCGTCTTCCAATACTTGAGGGGCTGCCACAGAGAGGAGGGGGTCAAGCTGTTTTCCAAAGCACCCGAAGGCCAGACAAGGAACAACGGATGGAAACCGATCAAGGAGAGATTCAACCTGGAAATAAGCAGGAATTTTCTGACAGCGAGAGCAATCAACCCATGGAACAGAAGTTGCCTTCAGAAGTTGTGGGAGCTTCATCACTGGCAACTTTCAAGAAAAGATTGGAATGCCATTTGTCAGAAATGGTGCAGGGCAGCGACGGCTAACCTTTTTGCTGTCGCGTGCCAAAAGCATGGGTCGCAATGGCATGCCCACATCCATGATTCAATGCCCCCCCCACCCCGCGCATGTGACCCACCCCGCTCTTGGCACACAACGGCAAGAAGGTTACCGGTGGGCCCAATAGGCCCATTTTTTGCCCTCCCCAGGTTCCAGAGTCTTTCTTGGAGCCCGGGGAGTGCAAAAACGGCCTCCCCCTCACCAAAGCCCTCCGGAGGCCGGAAACAGCCTGTTTCCTGACTTCCGGTGGGCCCAGAAGGCCCAAAAACTAGCTGGTCAGCACGCGCATGTGCGCTGGAGCTGAGCTAGGGCAACGCTCGCGTGCCCACAGATATGGCTCTGCGTGCAGTGTAGAGTATCCTGCTTGAGTCGGGGTGTGGGTGGAGGTTTGGACTAGATGATCTATAGTCCCTTCCAATTCTTAATCTGTTAAATTTCGTCAGCGCTGGGGGGGGGGTGGGGAGAAAAAAAGAAAAAAACGCAAAATTATGTTTTATTGCTTAGGAAAAAAACAAAACAGGGAGGGCAACATGCTGACACTGGCCTCCCTCCCCCCCCCTTTTACCCAGGATCTTGGAGACCGAGAAGCCAAGCTCAAAAGTGCAGAGCACCAGCAAAAGCACCGCCGCTTTACGCTCCTCTGAAAGGGAAGAGCCGCTTCTGTCGCCCCTCGACGCTGACGCTAAGGGACAGAAAACAGTGCCTGCCTACGGTCCAAGCAGGTATAGCAGCCACCAAAAGAAATCAACCTTTTCGATGGCATTTTAAGATTCTTCCGCGCCAGTTCCGCAACCCTGGAGAAAACAGTGCCCTCCTGTGATCCAAGTAGGAATAGCAGGCAGAAAAAGCACGGTCGCCGACTTTTTCCGTACCAGCGCTTCTCGGAGCGACCTTCCCAGCGTCAGCGCAACTTCCCGTCCGTCTCCTGTCCAACCCCCATCGCCGTTGGAAAAAAACGACCTTTCAACTTTCATCTTTCATTTTTACTTTTTCAGGGCTGCTCTTTTACCCTTTACCTTTATTTCAACCTTTCTTCTCCCCTTCTCTTCCTTCCTCTCTCTCCTCCTACTTCCTTCGTTCTTGCTTTGTTCTTTGTTCTTCTTGCTTTGGGTTAGGGTTAGGGTTAGGGTTAGGGTTAGGGTTAGGGTTTGTCATAGCTGCCCTATTCATACCGTTTGTCAATACCGAAGGGGCAAAGGGTGCTCGCTCCGACGCCCTGTGCGTTTACAGTATGGACGCGGGCACCATGGAGGGACCAAAAGCAACCGCATAGCCGGAAGGTTGTTTTGTTTTGAAAAACAAAACGGGGAGGACAGCGTGCTGACAACGGCCTGCCTTTGCTTTCGCCCACAATTCGCGGAGACCGAGAAGCGAAGGGCCAAAGTGCAGAACGGCAGCAAAAGCATCGCTACTCTACGCTCCTCTGAAAGGAACGAGCCGGTTCCGTCGGCCTTCACGTGGCCGCCAGCT